GGGGGGGGGATCAAATATTACTTTTGATTGGCCCGGTTGCAATTTATAACTTTATATTTCTTTCCTAGAGAACTGATATTCCAGAACCCGTTATGGCTCATCTGGCCACCAGCCGAATTCGTCATGTCACAATTATAGGTCGTCGTGGCCCACTTCAAGCTGCCTTTATGTTACGGGAATTTCGTGAGTTATGCCGAATGCCAATGACCAAGCGAACTAAAAAGGAGGGCCTTCACATTGAATTCGCTCCAACTGGTGTATTTGATGAAACCCTTCTCACTGGGCACAATCGTGCAGTCCTCCTTGATGGTTAGTTTATTGAATAACTTTTACTTATTTATAATCAGTAGTATTAGATTTAGAAGTGATTTTTTCCTTATGTGCTTAATCAAGGACTTCCACGGGGCAGACGAAGATTGATTGATTTTATTCTGGAAAAATCGAATTCATCACCTTCTCCAATTAAACCTGAAATAGACGGCGATCCTCTAAAATGCGAATTCCTCTTTCTACGATCACCTATTCGAATTATTCCTCGTAGCTCTGACCACCCCGATCCTAGTGTATCTAATGTTGCTGGTATTGATCTAGAAGTCAATAGGCTTGTGGTAAGTAATTTGTATATAATTTTATATGTTTTGGAACGTATTTCATTCCGGTTCAAAATGTTATTTTGCGTTAATTGATTAAAAACAGTTATCTGTCGAATGAAGTGCAGATCGATTTTAAACAACGACAATAGGATATTGGAGTACTTTGCAAATCGAAAGTTACAATTTAATTTTTCTTGGAAAGCGTCTGTTAAAAGCAAAATTTTGATTTGCACTGATGTATTAGATAAGTATCGACACTCATAGCAGTGAATTAGGGTAGGTTGGTAAATCATTCATTTTATTCCGGCATATGAACGGTTTTCTCGCTGTTAGCTAGAATGTCTACTATATTATGCCCCCAACCTAAACCCTATGGTAGTTTTGTGCACCCGGAAACCTCTTGATACTCAGCCCAAAATACGATCCGTTTAACAAACAGAAGAGAGGCTAATTGTGCTTATTTGACAATTCATTTTCATCGAAACCTATTAGACTCTGCCATTTTAAAAATATTTTCCAATTTTTATTCATTCTCATCCCGTTGCATTCCATATTGAACTATCCTACCTCTTCCCTCGTTCAGATGCTTTTCAAAGGTTAGGTGGCACACGTTTGTTTGTCATTTTCATTGATAGTAATGGTACAAATTAACATCATGTGAATGCCAGACTGAAACTTGTTTACGCCTGAGAATGTTGAAAATGCTTGCATCCTGACCTGAGTAAAATAAGACGTCATGCCGAAGATAAATAAGCCATTTTCTCTCATACTCTCACACTTTTTTCATCTTACTGGCTATTGAATAAGGTCTTATCAACTAGAATCACTCTTCTCTCTGACGAATTGGTTCAAGAGGCCTGTTTAGACCACTTCGTTATTATGAATAAGATGGGGGGGGGGGGGGGGGGGAATAAAAATGTACTTATTCCCCTCTCCAGTTAAGTCGAACGAATTTATGTAGAATTTGTGTATTGGGATGAATGGTAGGAAATGGTTTGGACCGCCTGTAATGCAACTTCACTTCATCTTTTATGTTCATTTGAATCTGAGGTTTATTTCAATCTTCTCCTCCAGTGTGCTTACGCATCCCTATATCTGTGCCCCTTTTACTTGGCTTTAGACATTAAGATAAATCTCTGCAGGGAGGTGGGGAGGGGGCGGGGTGTTTATATAACTTCGATCTTTAAATTTCATTAATTAATTGGTTCATAAAATCACCCCTCTCCCCTCCGATCTAAAGGAAAGTGCTTATTTCCATAATTTAGTTGCGTACATTTCCTTTTTAATACAATCTAAAGTCTCTTCATCTTTTTCCAGCTGTCGTACTTTTTTAATTGGTAAGCTCTAGGTTTAAAAGCTATTATTCCTCAAAATATAGCGCTTAAAATTCAGATTCTACCAATGAGCTACCAACTTCCGGAATTTTAAATGAGGTATTTTTTTCAGGGACCCCCAAGTGAAAATCAAAAGTGTGTAGGCTGCGCAGACATTCCTCTTGAACGCCTAGACTGTGACCTGGTGGTTCGGAGTATCGGACAACGAAGTGCTAAAATTGATCCAGATCTGCCGTTTAATGAGGAGAGGGGCGTGATTGCTTGCTCAGATGGATACGGCCGAGTTCCACTCCCTGCGTGCCTTCATGGTGTGGATGATGGTGGTGCTCAGCTCTATGCCTCTGGTTGGGCAAAAGTTGGTGCGGTGGGTGTTATCCTCAACACTCTGGCGGATGCTAGATTGACTGCTGAAGGGATTTTAATTGATTTGGCAAATAGAAAATCCTCTTCAGACCACGTTGGATTCGCGGGAATTCGAAATATAGTTGAAAGTCGAGGTATGTATTGCTTTAAACCATCGGATAAATCGTTAAGGCGTAAAGTGAATGTTTTAGAAGAAAGAGGCTTAAGTAATATTTGCTGTTTATTAGTCGTTAAGTGAGCGTACATTTTCTGCATACTAATCAAATTTAAGCTTAGATAAGATGACTCATTCATATTACTTTGTATCTTACAGCTGCTTGTGTTCACCTTAACAACAATATGAAATAGCATGTAAACTTTCTGACGACGCTGTCTTTTTATAATATTAGCGTTTACATCTACTTCATCATCTATTTCATCTACATCTACTACATCATGTCTACTTGAAAAATATTAATTTCTTGGCTATATTTTTATAAATGAACGGTTTTAATTTATAAACTGCAAAATAGACTTCTGAGATTACGAAAATAAAGTTGCTTATGAAGCAGGGGACGAATCCTGAATCCAGTGTACTAATGAATAAGCAAATAGACGCAAGTTCCAACCGTTTGCAGGACTCTATGATTCGCACACTTTATCTTCCAATTATACCCTAATCACATATTGAGTTGAATTAAGATTTTCTACTTTCAGATGTTTTTTTCTCTTTACGATTATTAAATAATATTTCCTTACCATACGAATGTTACCTTTAGCTCGGTGCTAGAGTGATACTTATACTAAGTCGGGTTTAAGCGAACCAGGGCAATCCAAGTTAAATTAATATATTCACTAAAGAAAGTGCTTGCCTGTTAAACTCCTCTTTTCATCGTTTATGAAGAATTATTTGATTACAAAAGGTAAGCATTTTATTGACAGGAAGTAGGGTAACATTTGCGACCTCAGACATATCTCAAATTCTGCGACCCCTTTATTAAAGTGACACACACACACACACACATCATGAAATCGTACATTTTAAAAGGAAATTTTAAATGTAACTTATTTTTAAGTTACGCATATGTAATAGAATATGCTTCGCAGGTGTGAAAAATGATTATGGGATGAGGCGAGGTCTGGTGACTATAGAGGATACGGTAGAACCTCGCAATATACTTTCAGGATGTTGTGGAAGGACATATTACTCTGTGGGGTCGGAAATTGACCTTTAGAGAAAATACTCCCTTTTCTGTTATCTTTCAATTTCTGAGTTAGTTTTTCAACTGTAACTGTCTCGCCTGATTTTTATGGTTCGCATCGAGTTATTCCATGTATATCCCACCAATTGCCTAAGTAGAAGTTACCGACTAGTCAACCTTGGCTTCAGAGACGGGATGAGTGCTTGATTTGGAGGCAGTCATTGTTTTTTATCCCAACGTTGTCACAAACGTGCACTTCTCGACTTCAATAACAATTTACTGCAAAAAGGCCGAATAAGTTATTGCTCATAAATAATGTTAAAAGCCTTTTTTATGCTGAGAATAAAACTTGCAGAGTTCTTTCCTTCCACCGTGTCTAGATTCAAAGTGAACTCAAATATTTACTGGTTCCCCAATTTTTTTCATTTTCCTAAAGTCCTTTTATCGACGATGTACCCGTATCTTGTAAATCGGGTATTTTGGCAGGGAATTTGCGCGTACGAATTACATCCGCATTTCACTGCTTTCTTTTAAATTCCACTGCGGTGACGATTTTTGCCCTTTTGAAGAAGGAATCGACAATGTTGGCTATTTGAGCCACACCAGTCTGACCCGTCTGTTACGTCTTCCTTTAATTTCTCATTATTTTGGCATGTCATGCCAAAGAACTCAATAATGGTTAAAGGGTGTGCATCCAAACGATTCAAAACCCCAGCCACTTAGGTGTCAGAGAGCCTTACACGTCACTTGATCTTTGACTAGGGTTGTACAGCTTTTAATAATTGTGCAGTTCACATTTCAAGATTCAAATTTCACGTTTACGAAGGTTGGTGTATATCGTTCGATATTATTTTTACCAAGAAGATTCAGTCTTGCCTCTCCTATTAATTTTTTTCCTCATGGTTTAGCATACAATTTGTCTTGCGTGATATCTCACAATTTATGATTTTGAGGTATCAGAGATGACTTAGTTAAAAAAGGGAATATTATATAAAATTTTAAATTTCATTTTAACCATATAACTAGGCAGGTATTGACACTATAACACTATAATTTTTATTGCCCATAATCAACTTTTTTCCCTCTTGTAGGCATTCGTCCAGTGAGCTTTGAGGAATGGGAGCGAGTGGATGCGAAGGAGAAGGCAACTGGAAGGGATCTTGGGAAACCGCGAGAGAAGATCACATCATTGAAGGAAATCCTCCAAGTCGCATTTGCTGAAGTAGCTAGGGAGAGGAATGGCAATAGAGCTGTGTGACATTAGTCTTCTGTAATAGGATAATCTGTACTACATTTTTAGTGCCCTCGAACAACACGAATTCTCAATTAAAGTTGGTTTAAAGTATGCGCGGACCTAAAGTAGCTCAAGACCATAAGAGCAGAGAATTATTATTCACTGATCAAGCTCAGAAATTATCCAACTTTTTTTTTCTATTCCAGAATATTCATAGATATTAATGCTTCCTTTCTTTATATCTGCGTTTGTAAATCTCCCTGCCTGACTTGTGTCTTAAAAATGAGATGTTACTTATCGTATCTGATTTCATTAATGCTATATAATTATGAATAGGCCTAGTACATGTAGTCATGGTAACCAATGATATTAAGTGCTAATTAGCCTTTCTACTATCTCTTCCATATAAATAAATAAAATTAAAATCTTATATCAAATCAGCCAAAACACTTGCTTGTATAAACATGTTGAATATAGTCGTTCGTCGTCTATGGATGATCAGGATTGAATTCAAGAGGATCTGATCAGTAATTAGTTGAATTAGGAGGAACGCGCTGCCGTAAATGTGTGTGCCGTGTAAGTGATAATCTCAAACCATGACTTATGACGGAAAGAGATCCCTTTTATTCCTGAAACAGTAATTAATTAATAATATAAATAGGTAATTTATTGATCAAGACAAAGTTAAACTCCTTTGTGTGTGCAATTAGGTTTGGCTAATTGGGGCGAAATTCATTTGTACTTAACTTGCAGGTATTTAGAGGATATTTAATCACTTTCACAAAGTTTGCGATTCGTTATTTATACAGTCGGCTATGATGAACTCGCTTATCCAACCCCCCCCCCCCCCCACGCGGTCCATTTAACAGGGATCGAAGAGCCTTGCAACGTGAGGAAAGGTTTCATTTTATATTCTCCATTACATATAATATTCTACTCTACTAACATTCAAGTGTGTTATGATATCGTCATTATTAATATTAAAAAAAGCATCTGCACACGTCGGGCTATAACTATATCATTGTTCGATGTGAGGCAAGCACCCGCCTAAATGTCCTAGAAAGTGAACTTACTAAATAAGCTCCTATCGGATCGATCTATTTTCCCTCTCACACTCCCTCAGTTGATTCCCCTCCCCATAAAAGGCAACTAGATTGGCGGGGAGGGGGGGGGGGCACAATTTTGCATATTCCACGGATTAGTGCTCAATATTTTGTCAGCACAAAGAAGATATATTATAATGAACTCTGCAAGATTTTTAACGTTAAACACAGGTCTCAATAAACAGTGGAGACTGGCCTAGAATGATCGGCGTGGGTATGATCCCCTTTTTTTGTTAATTTTCATGCTAAATCATTTTTTCATGATGATTAATTTAATTTGCTCTATTTACGCAAATCTAATAAGAAAGAGCTGTCATAAATCACTATATATTACCTATTTTTAAATGCATTTTTATGTCATTTTTTCAATCATGTGAAATGGGAGTAAATTTCGCAAAATATTGTTACTTCCAAGGTGGTTTAGTAATTTTGATGTCGCAACCTTGGGAGTCAGATTGCTAGGTGAAATTGCATTTACCTTGCGAATATCCATAAATTTTTATTTTACGATTGCATACGCAAATTTGCAGCACGTGAAATGTGATAGACTGCAATCTTCTCTTTTACGCATCTACTATCATAATTAGCTGCTCACACGTGTTGGTGGGGGGGGGGGAGAGGGTGGGAGGGGATGCCTTCTTTGGATCAGTAATTTGCTGAGAGTGAGACTTCATCCAGTATAATTTTCCAATGATGTAAAATAACTGGTTACCAACTTCTCTCTTCCTCAAAATATCCCTATAACTTTTTTGAATTTGAAATATGGGCAAGCCGAAACATTTTTCCCTCCAATTTCCTTTGTTCATGCCCAATGCAAATTCATTTCCCCCCCCCCCAAAATGGTGTTCATTTTCTTGAGCTCAAAATTTTGTCCATCTTTTAGAGAAGCTTAAAATAATGTGGTGGTTAATCTATCATTAAATTTATCTTGTGAATAAAATCGATCAAAATCGCATAAATAAATTGGAATAATTTTAGTCTGATGCATACAAATGAATTAATTATTCTAATTATTTTCATATGATTATGAGATTAAGTTCATGATTTTCTTAACTAAAACTAATGGCAAAAGTTGTTAGCAAATAATTAATAATATGGGGTAAAAAATTAATAACTAACAGAATCTCTTTGTAACTACGAAAATTCGTTACTTTGGTGCCAGCATATTCCTTTCAAATAATAAAACATGCAAAAAGAATATGATTTATACTTCTATTACCAAGATTTTAATCTAACCTACCTACGTGTGCCAGAGCATGTATGTGAAGAGATGGTCCTAGAGAGTAAATATGACTTAAGTTTGCGAAATATTCTAATCTGCTATAATTGTAGTCTTTCAATGCAATGCTACTCAAATTCTCCTAGTAGTTATAAAATTATGTTCATTTGAAATCGGACCTTATTGAGGAAAAGGCAGCCATGGAGACTTTTACAACGCAGGAAAACGTTTATTCTTAATCCGAAAAGAGACATGATTTAAGTTTATGTATTTATATCAAACGACAGGCGTTTCGATAGTTATCATTAGCCCTTTAGCTGACTTCGGGCTTCACAGAGGGGGGGAGGAATATCAAGGTGAGAAAAATTCGAGAGGGGAAGCAGAAGAGAGATTCAAATATGTAAAAAAGACAGATATACAGACACAAAGGCAGAGGAAAAAGCGAGGTGACTACTGTGGAAATAATCGAATATGACATACAGTGGGGTCATGGTAGTTTGAGGTCAGAAGTCAACTGCCGGTTTATAGACTTCTTTGCCGTATGAGTATACGTTGCCCAGGGTGAACCACGTGGAGGTAAGTCTAACGCACACCCCACGTGTTTTAAGTAAACTTCTGAAAAGATTGCTTTTAATATTAAATTTGCTTTGAAGAAAATCTTTTCAAGTAAAATTAACTAATAACTTTGACTATCATCATTTTCCTTAATCCACCTTTTATCTCAAATTTCGAATTAAATGTAAAACAATAGCACGTCTATTGTGAATCAAAATGAAGTAACGATAGTAGTTAAAGAGCGCTGTGATTGGTTTTTTTCAACAACAACCTCCAATAACTTTTAGTGATTGTAAGTTGAGTCTAAAGGCACTTAGACTATTATTTATGTATCGCAAGCATTTGAATGTGCACAGTTAGCTTAATTTTGAGTTTTACGATAACATGGAGGTGCTTTATTGATTAATGCAGTGTTTCCAAAACTCTCAAGTTTAAAATTGCGTAGACAAGTAGACGTAAACTCATGAAAATATCTGATAATTTTCTGTTCATGATTTAGGGTGATGAGCCCTTCTACATTTCGTAAGGGGATGGGGGCGAACTCAACTATAGAGCAGTTGTTAATTTCCTAGTCAAGGTAAGTCTATGTCCTCCAGGTTTACTTAATTCAATTACAAACATATTCCCCCTTAGAAATTAACTTTTTAAGGCCCCAAGAAGAAAATGAATAACATATGAGTATTTTTGCGGCAATTGTTTTCAACTGTGTGTAGACATGCTACTTAAAATTAAATAAGAAAGCCATTTTAAATTCCATTAAGGAATTTAGCATTCATGAATCAATATTTTGTAAGAATAGGCTCAAATTGTTGAGTTGCGAAAAAAATTGTTTTAAAAAAGCAGAAATCCACTTTTAGGTCACCGAATCTTAATAATTGTTGATTTTTCAAAGTAATTAAAAAACATTTTTCCTAAACTTAGCTAGTTTCGTTTTTCATCAGACCCTATGATTTTTATGGTGCCTGTGTGTTTAGCATTAATGTTGCCACAATAATGAGCTTCAATAAAAGTTTTTTTCCAAAATTTGTATTTAAGAAATAGTTTTTTATGATCTTCTGACCAACGAGTATTTCCACCCCCCCCCCCCCCCCCCCCCCCCCCCCCCACCCTCCTCCCCTCCAACCATAGAAGCCCAGGTAATAGTCTACTAAACGTTACTTTTCTCCATACTTAAAAATAACGTATATGCATAATTATTAAATCACAAGCTCTTTATTATGAAATGATTAATATACCTATTATTCAAATCACATGGCAGGCTTTATGTTAGTTATCATTAGTCTTTCAGTTGACTTCGGGCTTTACAGTGGAGAGGAACGCCAAAGTCATATAAAGTCGAGAGGGGGAACAGAAGAGTGAATAACAGATGTTAAGGGCGAGACAGACACAAAGGTAGAGGAAAAGGAAAGGTGAGTACTATGGAAGTGGTCGAATATGACATGCAGTCGGATCATGGTAGTTCGAAGTCAAGTGTCAGTTTATAGACTTTTTTTGGCCGTTGACTTCACGCTCCGATTATTATATGATATACTTTACGCTTTTAATTCACATGTTTAAAGTTTTTTCATTTATTGTTGTTATTAAATTAAGATAGAAACGTCAGAGACTAGGGGCGTTTAAAATACATTGAAATTTCATCCTTGAAGTTTCTATATCTTTTTTTAAATATTTGAGAATTTTTTCCATGACATTTTACTGGTTTTGGAAAGCGAATGTCTTTGTTTATCTGCACTTTACCTGTCATTTCTAATATTTTAAGCTAAGATACAATTTTCAAGTTTGGGTGGTGTCAAAAGTGTCTCCGTCATAGCTACTGGGTGTCTAGTAGATATTGTCTAGTTTTATTTTAGTTTTAATGGCTTGAAGGAATTTACAATCCTTACGTGTGAATAACACACACACTTCTAAAGGCATTTAATGTAACCAAATGACTTTTGCAATCACTTTTTTAATCATAGATTGGTTGTCTTTTGCGAGCTATTCATTTGTGTTTTGGATGACAGCGCTGAACTTGAAGCTGAACACAAAAAGTCTCTCAATTGCATGTATCAATTTACTTAGTCTTCAGAATATTAACAATTAAATATGTAGCTAAGGGTGTGGTGACTGACTCTATTGCCCATGTTTTTGAAGCATCATTTATTAAA